TAGTTAGCAAAAGGTATTACACAGACCTTAAGAAAACAACAGGTAATGAATGGAGTTTTAAAAACCTACAGAACAAAAATAACTTTTTGGTGCCTCTGACTTTTTAAGTTCACTCTGAAAGTGCTCAAAGGAAAATGTGAACAAAGACTAATGACAGGRGCCCTTTCATATTAAAATAATATATGGAGCAACAGTGAGTGAGAGGAATGCAATGTTTGAAAAAGCACAGACTAAATAAAACACCCATGTACTCACTAGTCCTCTCTCTTCTAGGGTGGTGTCTCAACCCAGCTATAAAGGAACATCTTGGGGCGGGAATGCTGTCATTTTCTCAGGTACAAATCTGTACTTCTGCGATGTTTACTGTCTCCATGTAACACTGCTGAAGACCACTTGACACTGACAAATAGTCTTCATTACGTCTGTGGCAAAGGTATTTGCTCTCATCTCTCAGGAATGATATAGGCGTTGATCAAGGACAAAGCACCAAACACTAAAAAATTCACTTGGCCTGGAGGCTGTATTCAGCCKGGCTCTGCAAGCAGCCCCTCTACAGCAGCACTGGGAAGGGTGGCTCAGACCCACTGCTGACTGGGGCTCATGGATGAGGAGCAGCAGTTGCAGCTCAGCRAGTCCCACAAAAGTGCTCTGGTTACAGGCTTGGTCTCCTCCACTCCTCCAAGGCAGCAGCAAAGCCATGCCTGTGAATATATGGTGCCTACACCCAGAGATCAAATCCATTCCCACTTCATGCCACCTGGAAAGTCCCAGACTTTTGCAGTTGTTGACCCCAGAAAGCCACACTGCCGTGTTCTTCCAGAAATTTTTAACTAACAACTGAAATAGGTTGCRCAGAAATACAGAATGCTGACTACTACAGTAAATGAAAATTCTGTGGATGTGAGAGACATGGAACAAATCTCTTGTGATTCAGACACTGTAAAATTATGACCCACATAACCTCAAAGCAGACATCTTCTCTCTTCRTTGACTTCTTCAGGATGATTCACACCATGTTTTAAACCCCTTGGGCTTCTCCATATGGTTAGGGGGTAGCCACTAATAGCTAGAACTGGGTTTAACAAGGAACTACTTCAGATGTTTAGATGCTCACACAGTGGAAGGAACCGGTATAGCTCAGTCTGTAGGACTGACAATTCTAGTACGGTCTAAAATGCCTAAAATAGCCACTAGAGATCATAAGATAATATTATGGCTGTTTCCCCCTCCATCTTCAAAGTAAAAGCAGCAAAGTGAAGAAGGTGAGTCCCACCAGGTCTGTAYAGGTGCAGACCCCATGGAAACAGCAGTTACACTCTCCCCATTCCTGGGGCCAACATCAGCACCTGTGCCAAGTGCAGCACAGATGAACACAAACCAGGAATGCAGCCCATGGCTGCTGGTTTTCCCATTTTTAAGGATTATTCCTTTGTGGAGTCACACATTAGTAATTTTCTTTAAGTTCACTGAAGCAGAAACTAACTCAATGCAAGTCCAGTGAGACAGTTTCTCACAGTTTCTCCYTGCAGAAAGAGTTGATAAACCTGAGCTGCAAGATTGCCTGAGAGCCCCGAAGGCTCTCCATCACACCCAATACCTCCTGATAGCTGTATGTGATGATCTGGCAAAACAACAATAAGAAGCTGATACTAGAAAGAGAAATTTAATACCAGCGCTTGTGATTTATGCAATGCTCTATCTAGCAGAGGTTTCACTCGCAGTTTTCCTGTCAGAGATACGATATGYAATTCAAGTTCGCCCCCCAGTGGACTTTGTGCTCACACCAGCACGGTAAGTTTTTGAGGACACTGGCGGCAAGCATTGAGGAGCTGGATGATAGCATACTTAAGAAACCTAGGAGTTACACCAAGAAAATTAAATTTAACTCTTATATCTTTAATACTGTGTTTCTCTTTTTCATTGGGATGAAAAGAAGTACACCTTCCAACCAACAAATCTCTTCATCCTGTCAAAATACCACATTGTTTTCCCTCCTGTGTCAAAACTACTGTGAATGTTTCAACTACTGTGAATATGCAGAGAAAATCATTTAGATTGGGATACAYATTTAAGATCATTGAGTAAATGAAAAAAAAAAMARKTYYYMA